GGCTGAGTCAGCAAACTCGGGCAGCAAACACTGCCAACCCTAATCATCTTATGATTCACTGTGAAGGAATGACCACTCCTTGGTGACAACACCATCCTAAAACATAGTCAAGAGGGAGGACTGCATTGAATAAAAAGGGGATGGGCCAACCATTTCTCGGCTTGTTACAAGCTGAGTCTTCCTGTCCATAACAACTTTTCAAAACGACACACCAAGTCCTAAGCAGTCAAACGTCAAAGGAGCACAAGGAAGAACTTTGGAGGAAAACTCATCAAGCCGACAGGAAACAAACATTAGCTGTTAAGCTTGGGTTTTGATTTCAGGTGTTTTGGCTTGAGGTGGGAAGGAGATGGGGGGGGGGGGTCTCACATTATGGCCCAGGTTAGCTCACTATGTAGCCCAGGCTAGCTCACTATGTAGCCCAGGCTGATATCAAACTTGCAGCAATCATCTTTCTATAAATGCTCCTGTGAGGGATTATAGATATGGCTGCCACAGCTGGCTGAGGTTTTTTATTACAATCGATAGGTAAACATCAAATACTTTCATGTTTCCTCAGGCAAATAAAGGTTAATAAAAATCCTGTTGTTTTAGTTCTCATAAGCATTTAAACTAATACATCATGGCTTTAAAATCTGACAAAAATGCAAATACTTTGTGGTATATATATATATGATTTCAAATATTCAACATCTCAAAAAATGCTAGTGTTATAGAATAGACAATAATCAAAAATAACTTATTAGTTGTGTATTTTCCCCCAACAAAAAAAATCAAAACAAGAATATACAAATGAAGTCCATGTCTAAGAAATTCTTATTTTAGTATGAAATTTTTTCACGTAGAAAATCAGGGGCTAGGAAAACCAGGTTCAGTAGGCTAAGCGCTTCCCTGAAAGCAGGAGGACATGGGTGGGATCCTAAAACACACAGAAAATAGCCACACATTTAGCACACACGTCTAATCCCAGCACCTGGGAGGCAGAGACAGATGACACATGAGGCTCACTGGTTGGCCTGTGAGCTGCAGGCCAACGACACACCCCGTCTTGAAGAAGGAGTAGACATCACTAAGGATGGCATCTAAGGTTGTCCTCTGAGCTCTACAGATAAGCATGCACACACATCACAAGGATGATCAATTCCTGAAACTTTCCACAAGACCAAGACCCTATAATTGATCCATGACAAAGAGGCAAACTCTAACAACACAAAGAGAGGAGCCAAAATACGTTCCTGGCTACTCTGGATTTTCTGAACTCCTTAACGGCATGTACTAGAATAATGTTCTGAAGAAAATGTTTAAAAAAAAAAAACTATGCTTTACAAAAGCTAATTAGCAAATCATCCAACAACGGCAGAGTAATTTTATAACTGTTACCAATTACTTCCTCCTCTTTGGGGAAAACACTAAAACCAAAAAGAACCTGAAATGTAAGGAAATGAAGCGAACCCCACCTTAGAGCTTTGCATTACCGTGGCCTCCCCAGTCACCTGTCCTCAACCTTGAACACCCAGAAAGAAAGTGTTACTGTCTTCTAAGCACTGAAAGGACACTATTAGAGGAAGCACAAGTCAGAGAAAGTTGACGTTTTCCTATCCGTACCTCTTCCACACGCCTGTCCTACAGAAAGCACATGCATGTGCCTTAGAGCATTCCAAGGGTGATTTCTAGAGCACGTGATACAGCTGCTCAATACAATGCTGTACAGCAACTTAAAAAGACACAAGGATCATCTGCGTGCACGATCATGGAAACCCTTTCAAGATACACTGTCACGTTAAAAATAAAAAGCTAGGATGGTAGCTGAGGGGAAGGAACATCTACCTGCCACACGTGAGGCCCAGGGTGGCATACTCAACTCAGCAAAATAAGTGAATGACTGAGGAGTAAGACAACTTGAAAGTTGTATAGTATAACTCCAGTTGTTACTAACAACAGTAAATATACACTTTACATAAGGAAAATAATTTTTTGATCTAGAGTTTCAGTATCAGCTGTCATATTTACAAGGAAAAGTTTAACAGAAAAAAAATACATGTACTTACATCAGGCTTTTCAAAATATATATTTTTCAAAATATGGCGTATTTTTAAATTTCGACATTATACTTCATTAATGCCTAGTTTTTTATTTTGAATGATATATAACATACATGATCATGAATATAATCATTTTATGTTAGTGATATAATCAAAAGCAAGCAAAAATCTTATTTATAAAGAGAAGAAAAATCTTTACAATTCATCAAAAATAGCTCAACTTCTCTTTCAGAAGGCAGTGGTATCCTTGGTCTTAGAACTTAACTCAGAAGCCTCTCTGGTGTCTGTTCTAGTAACAGCGTCCCAGAATAAAAGGAAGCTGCAAAGTTAAGCTTCGCAATCCTAGCACGGGGGTGGCGGGAGGTGGAGACAGCAAAACCCCTCAGGACTATTGGTTCAGTAAGATCCTGTCTCAAAAGGTAAAGTGGAGAGATATTGAGAAAAATACCAACATTGACTTCTGGCTTCCAAAATATATGCACACACATGGAGAGGGGGAGGGAGGGAAGGAGGAGGGAGAGAGAGGGAGAGGGATAGAGAGGGACAGAGAGAGGGGGGGGAGGGAAGGGAGAGACTTTTAAATAAAAACAAAAATCCCATTTTATATCCAAAAACTTCATGAATTTGTAATGGGAAAAATTAAAAGTATGGCCCATGAGTCAACAATCTTATATTGAAGTCTAAGTCCACTACTCCCAGAAGCTGGGTATGTCCTAAATAAGTCTCTTTACAGCCCTGAACGTCATCTGTCTTCCTCCTGTATGGTCTAAGTACACGGCCTTAATCTGGCACACCTGAGAGAACTTGCCAAACATAGCACTGTAGAAAGGTTTGTTTCTGTTACTGTTTTATCCAGGAGATCCATAAACAGAATCCCTGGGGTTCTGGTCACTCTTGAGCACTGTTCTCCATATAGGTGGTTCACTAGTGCTTGGAAGTCAGGGAAATTGAAGATGAAGTCGCTACAAACTGTGCTTCAAAGCCGGAGTCCAAGGGTCCCCCTTTTGAATAGGCCTGTGAGCTACCACAGACAACTGCACAGAATGGAGATCGAGTTTCTCAAGCAGAGATCAGAGATGGCCATTCTGTAATATTTTCACCAAATTCTCCCTTTTAAAAGTAACCCAAGAGGACTGAGGATGTCAGACCATAGTAAAGTGCTTGCCTAGCTAGCGTGCCCGAGGCATTGATTTCAACCCGTGGTACTGAGAGAAAAAAGTAACACAGGCTCACAGTTTTACTCCCCAGCATCTTCTATGTACCCCCACCTTGCCACATATCTTCATACATCTGTTTGATACAGCCATTGTCTATTAGCGTCCTGCTACAGAAAGAAGCTTGCAGGAAAAGTTCTGAACTAAACCTGGGAGGTTAAGAAGTGTCCGGCGCTGTATTACTCTGACAGAAAAACAAAACAAAACAGAACACCCTTGTCGTTTCTAGTCCCCAAAGGCCTACATCTAAAGTGGGATGCCCCACAGTGCCTCTTGTTGGAAGCAGGAAAAAGCTAGCTGGATAGTCGCGCCTGAATTATTAAACCGCTCTCTCACTATTCTAAATCCACGTCAGCAATGCCTAGTCCTCTTGCCCTTCTTCCCAGGTAATTTAATCATATCCCTATAACTATAAGACAAATGATAAGTGGGACCACAGTATAAAATTCTTAGCAGTGCCATGAGAAAGAACTCATTGGTGCTCAAAAAGATCAGTCTTTAATTATCTGGAAAGTTAAGCCAACCTGTCGGCTATATTGGACTGAATCTCTCACTCGGTTTCTGTCCCAAGAAGACCACTGATGTTTCCCAGATGGGGACATTCATTGCCTGGGGTCCATAGGCTCCAGATAGCTTCAGAGGTATCCTATCTAGTGCCAGGTGTACAACTGAACTGCAGGTCAAGCATGTACATTAAGGAGGGGGGATTTTCCCCCTTGTTAATCGACAGGATAAAGGTGATTAAGCAGGAATTATTTTCCAATGGCCTATATAATTTCACCAGAGTTGCTATGGCTATTAACTGAAAGCAGCTGACTTCTTAATGAGATGAACTTGACAGCAGGACCCTCCCGGAGCAGCCAACAGAGTAGTTGGTCCAACGTAAAGGAAGCGCAATTGGTCTGCCTGCATTTCCCACCCTTCCTCCTCCTGAGAGCTGTTTTTCTTCAGTTTGGGGCTCTTTCCCTCCAGGAGAGACGGGGCGGTATTCCCTGCACCTGGATGGCTAGGGCTGCAGCACCTGTGGAATGGTTGCCAGCTGATCAGTCAAGCACAGGAGGCTACAGCCAACCTAGACTTAATTCTCCAGACCCACACACGTGGTTCCCAAAGTTCCAAGCAAACATAGCAGCTGTGGCCACCCAATACCTCATCTACCCAAGCTTGAAATAAAACAATAGCTAGTCTACTACCTCATAGGAGTGTTGTTAACAAGAGAGCTTTGTTGAAGCCAGGGAACCCACACAATCACTGAGAACCACAGCTCGAGTCCAGTTTCATCAGAGAATCTATGAAATTAAGCAACAGTCACCCGACAGTAAATGGTTCACACCAGGAAAGCGCTGCAAGCCCAGAGGCAGGCACCGCCTCCCATTTCGTGAACGCCAGGAGGTTTGGCGAGGAAGACAGATCCAGATCTCATTGCCTTTGCCAGTTACTCCTGGGAGACCCAGGCACTGCGGCCCGAGGGAGCGAGAAAAACCTGATGACATCTTCCTCCGTCAAAACAAGCTGGCCCTCTCTGCCCAGGGTCAGCCATGAGTAACGTCGCGTGCAAGAGCCCGCAGCGTCCCAAGTAGTCACAGGGCTTTGAGCTGGGAAGGTCCCAGCCTTCCTGCGCCCCCCCCCCCAAAAAAAAACCCTGCCCCTGTCGCCCAGCAGGATGCAGGAAGGAGGCTCTCAGGACGCCTTTCCAACATCCTAAAATAAAATAAAAGCAATATTTCAAGCGCAGATCTCTTACCTACGGGCGGCCACGAATCCTCCCTCCACGCGGTGTCCCCTCGACAGTCAGAAAGTTTGTGCGGAGATCCCGGGGACAACCGAGCTGCCAGGGCTCAGGGCACTAGCCGCGGGGACAGAGTCGGCTTCTCCCGGGCCCAACACCCAACTCCGGACGCCCGGGCAGTTGCCCTCAGGCGTCTGGACGCGGTGACCTCCAGTCCTGGCTTCCACTCAGCCTGGGGACCGGGGGACAAATCACCAGGCGAGAGAAGGTCAAGGCACAACTTTTCTCCGGCGCGTCAGCCCTTGGCGAAGCCGGCCAGGTCTCGGGCTCGATCCCGCCCCACAACCCGCACCCTCCGAGGAGCCTGGGCGGGGCGCGCTGGCAGGGGCCGAGCACAACCTGCCGGGCGACTCAGGGGAGCAGGCAGCAGGCCCCGCCCCCAAGGCCTCCACCGCCAGGCCACGCCCCCATTGGACCACGCCCCTCAGCCCAGCCCCGCCTCTGCCAGGTGCTCCCGGGACTCGGGTTGCGGGGCCCACGGTGCGCACGGGTTTCCTAGGTGAAGGAGGCGGAGCCGCCGAGAGAAAGTTTCCACCGAAACTTGAACTGGGACGCAGCGGAGGACACCTCGCCCTTGGCGGCTCGGCTCCCCACCCACGCCACGCCTGACTAGCAGGCAGGCACCCACGTCGGGTGTCTAGGGTTTCCGTAACGAAAGGAAACCGCAGACCGCGACGCGCGGTCGTCGTGGATTTCCCACTTTCAGAGTGCGGAGCCGGGCGCGCCCGCCCCACTCGGATTGCCTTCGTTTGTTCTCCTTTTTCCTTAGATATTTGAACCTTAGCATGACAGTCCCAAGAGAGCTGAGTCGAAAGATGAACATGGTCGCCTGTTAGTCAACTGGAAAAACCCTCTGGCATGAGCAGGAGGCCGTTTGGTCCCAGCACGGGGGCAGGAGTAGCTGGGTTTTTGCAGTTAAGTTTCCTTACGCGTAATTTTAGCCATAGGAACCTGGAGAGTATTGCACAGGTGTGTATCGCTCATTCACTACCAACTGTCCCCATTGCCACCCCCATCTCCAGCCAAAGAAAGAAAAAACAAAGAGGGCTGTTTAATGTGGACAGTCTTGTGGCAAGGATGCAAGTTGGCAACTCAGAACTCCCCAGAGGAATGGAGAGCAGAAGGGAGGCGGTGGCCCTTTGGCACTGCGTGGTACCTTATGCTCTGCCAGGGCCCAGCCCTCGACCCGGGACGACCTTTGCCTAAGGACTGGGCGCAGCACTCCAAGCCAGCTCTCCCCTTCAGTCCCCACGCCCCTGCGTGCTTGGACTGGCTGGCTAGTCCGGGCTCTGCTTTCTGGACTTTAAATCCCAGGAGGAATCTGGATCTTGGTTAGCAGCAATCTTGACAATTGCATTGCCCTGTGGTCAGTGTGGCTGAAACTTGAAGTGAGCCTTCTTCCCAGCGGATGGGGCTACACCACAGTCAGCAAAAACGGATGTAGTGGTGTTCCACCGCAGCATCCTCCTGGCACCTCACCAAATCCCAATTCTGAGGAAGTGTCTTCCTTTGTTCTACATGAATGGCATCCGGAGATAACCAAAATCGGATAGCTCGGATTTTCAAGATTTCCTTTCACCCATAGCAACTGGATAATGTAAACTTAATGCTCACTCTCCTCCCTGTTCGCCACCACCGCCACTGTGCCCAAATCACCAGCTTCTACTTTCTGTCACCTGTGGTTAATAAGTGGCTCCTCGCTGGGCGGTGCGGTCGCATGCTGATGCAGGATGTCCTTCTGTATATGTGTTGCTTTTCTGGGTTACTGAATTAAAGCTGCTCTGGCCAACAGCTCAGGCATATTTGATATAACTCTTATATCGTCAACTAACCCATTTCTATTATTTTGTATTTTATCATGAGGTTCGTGGTTTGTTACCTCTTACTTCTTAGGCGGCTAGATGGCATCTCCCTGACTGTGCCTCCTCTCTCGACAGATAGATGATATAGATAGATAGATAGATAGATAGATAGATAGATAGATAGATAGATAGATAGATAGATAGATAGACAGATAGATGTATGTTAGAATTTCCTGCCTGGTTTTACTCTGCTAAGCCATTGGCTGAAAAAGCTTTATTTATCAACCAATAAAAGCAACGCATATACAGAAGAACACCCCACATCAGTATGCCTTTAATTCTAGGACTGTAGAGGCAGAGACAGGCAGATCTCTGAGTTCAAGGCTAGCCTGGTCTACAAAGCAAGTTCCAGGACAGGACAGCCAGAGCTACACAGAGAAATTCTGTCTCAAAAACAAACAAAACAAAATAAAGGAGGCAGAGAAAGAAGAGGCTCTTCAGTATAAGATGAGGAAGGCAAAGGGAGGAGGGGTGAGAAGGTGGAGGACCAGGAGCAGGAGGAGGAGAAGAGGAAGAGGAAGAGGAAGAAGATAGAAGAAGCTCGTAAATATAAGCTGAGGAAGGCAAGGTAGTATGAATAGAGATTAAGAGCAGAGACCAGGATTTTCTGCACAGCTGGTCACAGGCCTGCTCTGCCCTTGGAATGTGTACAGATCATTTCTTTACTCAACGAACAACTATCGGATAATTTTTGCATTCCAAGCACTCTCTGAGGGATTGGGGAACAAAAGCATTACAGTCTCAGAAATCATGAAGTAAGCAATTTCTCACATGTGGTAGTGTCCATGATGGGGTGCTATGCGGCCACAGGGCCACAGCAACAATCTGGTAATCAACTGTGAGCCAAAATAAACCTTTGCTCTTTTTAAGTTGATCTAGCTAGGTATTCTGTTACAGTAATAAAAGGCCAAGTAACACAATTAGTAAAATGTTAGCCTTTAAAAGTGGATTTCTCCTTTCCCAGTTTTATTGCTGTATACTTTCTTTGGCTGTATTACATATTGTACTTAAGACACTGAAATTAAACTTCTTTAATGAAGAAGTCAGGCGTCATTCCTCACTCTCTGCTTTTACTCCCATTTGTAAATGTACCTAACGTTGTATCGTGTGTTTCTAAATTTGTTCTATTTTAAATACTAGAAATCTCGAATTAAATGTAAAAAGAGAGAAGTAACATTCCTCCATTAACACACACTTTCACACATTCTTATTCAAAGTGCTCATTACGTTATAGACCTAAACGTCCATAAGAAGAAGTAACAAAGGTCATAGCCTCTGTGTAAGGCATCTAAAGTGTAGCACAGAGAAGCGTGGCCTTGGGTGCCTTGAAATTGAACCAAAAGTGACATGAAAACATTAAATGTACATTGAAATTATCTTCTAGAATTGAGCTCAGTCACAAATGCTCTTCATCCTATTAGAATAATCATCATCCTGTCAAGAAATGGTTTTCTGACTCAAGAGAAGGTTGCTTTGGAATGACTTTGTCTCCTATGGAAATGATCAAGTGGTCAGGCTCCCCGTCACCAGTTGTGCAAGGTAGATTTATTCTCAGACTCTTCTACATCCGCCTGTCCTGTGCTTGAAAGTGATTCCCCATAGCCTAGGCTGTCTATTCAAGTTTTCAACTTCCCGACCCGAATCAAGTAAACTCCAGTCTTGTGTTTCAACTTTCTTTCTGGAAAGAAGTAACAATCTACGTCCCTGCATCGTGACTGTGTATTTCATTTCTAAACACAGTTCAGACTGTACAATAAGCAGTCATTAAACATTCCATTTCCAAGGCAATTTCTAGAAATTTATCAAAAGGAACCATGGTAAATACATAGGAAATTTTAGGTACAATTGTTATTAGCAGGCTTTGATCATATAAAAACTGTATAAACAACTATCCAATAGGAACTAAGTAAGTTTTGTTCTAAACAAATAGTATGCTCTCAGGTTTATGATGTTTAAGTACATTTAGGATGCAATATAGTTATGTAAGTTGTTCAAAGTGCCTTCCCTCGGGGGCAGGTGGAACCCAGTACATGGTATATTCATAAAGAAATAGGAGACCTTTTGTCAAATTGTATCATTAGCCTTGGGTGTATATGGTCAAAAAAAAAAAAAAAAAAAAAAAAAAACTCTGAAGAGCTCCAAGCTGAAATGTGAACTGCAGTCATCTTGAAAACAGCGGGAGTGCAAGAGATATTTGTTTTCTTCATTATGATCTTCTTTCTTCCTTCACCTTCTATAATGAATGGTATTGCTTTTATAATAAGATAATCAGTTTTATTCTGGTCAAAGTCTCTCTCTCTCTCTCTCTCTCTCTGGCTGGCCTCTTACTATATAGGCCATGCTGCCCTTGAACTCACCTCCTAAGGGCTGGGTTCAAAGGTGTGGGCCACCATGCCTGGCATTAATTTTACTTTTAAAAAAGGAATAACAACACTGAGCTATCCCCCTCATACCCATCAGGGTTAGTGAGCGTGTAAGACAGTATTGCTCTGTGTAAAACCGTGTAGCAGTTCTTCACAATATTAAAAATAGAGTACTATATGATCCCATGATCTCATTCTGGGTGTGTATCCAAAGGTTTAAAAACAGCGTCTCACAGAGATATAAGTACTCCCACATCCATAACGCATATTTGTAATTATCAACAGGATAAAGCTAGCAGTTCAGTTCCAGCATCGCACCTGATCCACTGGGCCTCTTCCTCTGGGTCGCTTGCTTCCAAACACAGGTCAATGTCAGTAATAAAAGTCCTGCCCACCCACTGCTAGGGCTGTGCCAGCTCCAGAGCCCTTTAGGGGATCGACTGAATCCTCTGTGAAGACTGTACCACCAATCTTGCTTCCTTTAGCCTCCATATGTCTGTGTTCCAGGATCTGGTAAGTTCCATCCTGATGTGAATCTCTGTCTTTGAGTTTGTTTTCCCAAAAACCCAGACTACAACATTTCTTTAAGAAAAAAAAAAAAAAGAAAAATATTTTCCTGGTGTCCTGTATTTTCTTCTTTTCTTGTATATTTGTCATTTATATTTAATATATTCAGAGCCTATCTTATATAAGAGGACAAAGGAATCTGCTGTATCTTTCTCCTTATTTCTAATATCAAGTTCTAAATAATTCACTGTTTCTTCACTGATTTGTGGCATCCTGCCTCTAGTAACGAACTCCCGTGGATTCACAGGTCTGTTTAGCTCCGTACTTTGTTCCTTTGCTTAAAAACTTCAATTGCTTTGTTTTGTTGCCTAAAATTACCCTCATATATATTTGACAGATACAATTCAGGTTCATTCCGTTGGTTTCACTCCAAAAATCTCTCAAATTGTTATTCGACTTATACTGGATCTGTAAATTAATTTTATAGGATTTAAATATTTTAAATCTAAATCATCCCATCTGTTAGTGTGGTGGTAT